ATTCACAAAAAAATGAATCAAAATTTCAAACATTTTTTATTCACTCATTAAATGTATTATTTGTGATGAAATTGTAAGCTTTCGGTACGTTTTTTGCGGCCAGAAATGGACACCAAATAACCGGATTTGGCCGATAATTTTTAGTTGTATATTATCAGGGACATATACTTTACAATATATGTAAGCCCCATAAGTGTACTGAGCGGCGGGTATAAAAAGGTTACGGTTCAGTTGCTTATTAATATTTGTATTAAGCTCGAACATCTAATTAATGTAATTGGTACTTTATGTTCTGGATAATTTTAGTATTTTTGTTTTGAGTATTTATTTTAAAGTTGAGTGTATATGGTATAAATTTTTATTTATTTTATAATAAAAAAATATTTTTAATATAAAATGAAATTATGTTTTACAGTGAAAGCTCTGAGTTATGTATGGCCTATTGCATGTGAAATCTGTACATAACTGGGAACGTTCATAACAGAGAATGTGTTCAAAAAAACTGTAAAGAACGGAGCCCAAATATGACAAACTGGTTCTTTGTTTTTTATGTTTAAAAATTAATGAACTCACAAATATCATCAAATATTATCAATATATAATCAAAATTAACCTCTGCATTAAGTCGCAATGTCAACTTTGGCTAAATTCTATGAAAATGTCCAAACATGCCCAAAATTTTACCCCTGTAAAATCTTTAATAAATCGAATTTTAATAAAATTCTTTAGGATACATTAACAGCATAGTTTGTAAAATAAATTAAATGTTTACAATAAATTAAAATTTATTCCGACTTTTTGAACCAAACAGAAAATCGTATTCAATAGATCTGTTTGCCTAACCTCTATTGCAAATTAGATTTATATTGTTTTGGGGCTTAAATGAAAGTTCAATTCTTATATCATTTGTATACCACTCGTGACTTTACGCATGACCTCTGACATTCTCACTTTGCATTTGCATTTTCTCAATTTTTAGGCATTTCCTGCAGGGTCCTTTAAAATATTTTTATGTCATCAAACTTTAATAATCTTGGTCTATTAACCTTAAATCTTTAACATCACTTTTTATTAATATATTTGACTCGTTAATTAATTTGTAAAAATAACTAANATATATTTATTTACTCCAACGCTATCTGTATCTGAGATACCGATCGGAAGTGGAGACACACATGAAATTAGCGAAACTTATGGATCCGTTAAAGGATTTACAGATTATTTGCGACATCAAGAAGAAAAAGGGTTACGAGTTATATATGGATACTTTCGGACCTAATCTTAAAGAGATACTCTACGACACCACACTTTAATGTTATTATTTATATTAAATTGATATACTGTTTTACTCTACATAAAAGTTTATGTTTACCTTAAATAGAAGTTGCTATATTAATAAATATAATTTATGTTTATATTTGTTGATTATTTTGCACGTAACTATACAGTACTACTTTCAATATCCATAACATTAGATTTCAAATGGTCATGTGATACAGTGAAAGCTCTGAGTTATGTATGGCCTATTGCATGTAAAATCTGTACATAACTGGGAACGTTCATAACAGAGAATGTGTTCATTTTTTGACATTTCTTGCCTCGGGTTTATACTGTTTGACCGAGAAACAAAAAATACAAATTTTTAATTACTTGAGTGTTTATAGTAGTTTATAATAGTTATATATTAGTTTTAATTGGAGACGTAATAGTCGCAATGTCAACTTTGGCTAAATTCTAACTTTTACAGGTTTGTACGGGTTTTAAAATGGGGACATTTTAGAAATTATTTAGCTTAAAATTATTTTAAGAAATCCTATGTAATTGTCGTATCAAACATTTTATTTAATTTACAAATGTTATTTAAAAAATTTATTCCGACTTTTTGAACCAAACAGAAAATCGTATTCAATAGATCTGTTTGCCTAACCTCTATTGCAAATTAGATTTATATTGTTTTGGGGCTTAAATGAAAGTTCAATTCTTATATCATTTGTATACCACTCGTGACTTTACGCATGACCTCTGACATTCTCACTTTGCATTTGCATTTTCTCAATTTTTAGGCATTTCCTGCAGGGTCCTTTAAAATATTTTTATGTCATCAAACTTTAATAATCTTGGTCTATTAACCTTAAATCTTTAACATCACTTTTTATTAATATATTTGACTCGTTAATTAATTTGTAAAAATAACTAAATATTCTAAATCCTAATTAAATATCAAAAGAATTGTTACAATTGTTACAAAAAACATTATTATTGACATTTTTAAAAGTAAGCACTGAAATCTTGTGTTTTTATATGAAATTACAGTTTATCTCCTAATAAATATCACGTCATCCATAACTCAGAGTAGGTTTTAGTACATAAGTCACTCATTTTGCGTACATAACTGGGAAGTTCATAGTAGAGAATGTATTTAACATTACAGGTATAGGCAATCCGTCAAAAAATATTTTACAGTTCATAACTGAGAGCCGTACATAACAGAGAACTTCACAACTCAGAGCTTTTACTGTATATATATTATAATTGAGATAATGTTTCGTATTATATGATAATAAAGTGAATAAAAATATTACTAACAAATTGTACTTAATTTAATTTAATTGTATGTCTAGCTACAGTGTTAACCCAAATTGTGATATATGTGGCGACTATTCAATCGGTAAATTATTTATAAAATCAATATTATATTTTATCTATCCGTTTATGAATAAAAATAAAAATATTTACATTAACAATACAAATCTTGGTGTTTAATTTACAGGTAGAAACTACGGGGCATTTACTTGCGAGTCATGTAAAGTATTTTTCAGGAGAAATGCGCTCAAAAATATAGTAAATTTATTTTCAATAAGTAATTTAGTCGATTATCATAAAATTAATAAATGTCTAAAATAAATATTAGATTTTAAAATGTCGTTCACATGATAACTGTTTAATTGATAAGAAAACGCGCAAAACATGTAAAAGTTGTCGTTTAAAAAAGTGTTATACAATGGGAATGAAAACGGTAAGGTTGTTGACAATTTGAATTTAAATATACTCTAGTTAATTTTTATTGTATTTTTAAAGGGTTTCATTAAAAGTAAAGAATCGGAAGTGAGTTCACAAACAACTAACGAAACGACTGTTTGTTTAATGAGTCAAACAATTCTTGAATCGGATTCTGAATACAATGTTTTGAATGAAATTATCGAAAGCAATGCTATGAATGCTATTAAAGTAAGGGAAGAGATTCAAGAGATTGTGAGCTATAATAGTAATAATATGAGAGATAGTTATCAAGATCTGTTGATAAAATTGTCGTTTAAACCGGTGTTTAAAGAAATACATAACGAAAACAGTTTCAATGAATTAGAGTCCAACCGATTGTCCGAATTATTCAAAGCCTCTAAGGTTTTCAACTATAAGACAATGCAAACAAAAACGTTAACTGAGATCATAAATCTGAAACAAATAAACATAGTCTGCAGCACAATGTTGGACAAGGATGTGCTGGATTTGATCCAATTTACCAAATCGTTGACATCGTTTAAAAATATGTGTTTCAACGACCAAATGGCACTTTTTAAGTACGGATGCCTTGAGATACTAATACTTCGCTGCTCTATATCTTACGATACTAACACTGAATATTGGAAATGGGTCTGGGTTAGTTGTTACAAAATCATATATACTTTGTGCAAATACTATCAAGACTTTAAACGTTGTTTAACACAGAATCGTGACCATCCCTGTGGATGTCTATTCAAATTAGATGTCTTAAAGCCAGAAATGCGAGATTTATACACATATTATAAGAAATATCTTAACAAGGCTATCCCAGAATGGAACAGAGATTTCATAATTATAGATTTGGTAATTATTTTAAATTTTATTTCTTAAAAACATTTATTTTAATTATAATATCCCATAGTTGTCGGCAATAATACTGTTTAACCCGAATCGACCCAATATTTTGCACAGAGATGTCGTTAAGTAAGTTAATAAGTTGCATGTTAATAGGTTACATTGGTTAATTAAATTTAATTGTTTAATAATACTTGATATGTAGAGCTGAACAGCAATTGTATATTTATTTACTGCAACGCTATCTGTATCTGAGATATCGATCGGAAGTGGAGACACACATGAAATTAGCGAAACTTATGGATCCGTTAAAGGATTTACAGATTATTTGTGACATTGAGAAGGAAAATTGTCTGGATGGAATTGGTCCTATTCTTAAGGAGATTCTGTACGATATCACAGCTAATTAATTCAGCCAATTATTTTATTAATAACTATATTATTTTAAATATTTTAAAAAAATATTAAGAATAATTTAAATATTTGTCAAAACATTACGCTATTTATTAATTAAGATAAATTATCAACATTTTAAACACATTTAAAGATTTATGTATAATATATAAGATCTATTGATAAGCCTGTGCTATACACCTCAACAGATAATTTATTTACTATTAGTATTATAAATGCTCATGGTAAAATTTGAATAATAAATTAATATATTTTATTACAACATTATTTTTTAATAGCAATAAATTATCTAAATTTTAGATGTCAAATTAATAATTCATGATTTATACAAGACTTTAATTAGTTATTGTTTTTGTAAACGTAATTATTACATTGTTAGCAAATAATAAATATAACACTGTATTTAAGTGAGTTTGTGACTGATAATCACTAGGATATTAAAGTTATAATTGATAATTCAAAATAATAGTTAAAATTTTTTTGTAAACGTAATTATTACATTGTTAGCAAATAATAAATATAACACTGTATTTAAGTGAGTTTGTGACTGATAATCACTAGGATATTAAAGTTATAATTGATAATTCAAAATAATAGTTAAAATACCATTCATTTATAACTTATACCAGTGCTGTCTAAAATATTTAAAAACAAAAAATAAGTAGCACATAATTTTATTATTTCATATAGATTATCAGTAGATAAAACTCTTTACAAAACACAAATATCATTACTATTTGTTACTGTATTTCTAGAAATATGTCATTAAACTTCAATTATCAATTTTATGGTTAATTATGATATTTATAATATGTTTTGAAATGTGGTGCTAATATGATCAGAATCAATTCTTATAAAACATGCCAAATCTGTGGTGATGTATCTAAAGGTTTGTGATTTAGTGAAACTAACTTAATTGCATTTATTGTGAAAACTAATAAATATTTGCCATACAGGATATCATTATCATGCAATATGTTGTGAGCCATGTAAATTATTTTTTCGTAGGAATGGCTTAAAATCGGTAAATAATTTTGACAATAAACATTAGATAAGTGATAATACTCAATGAGCTAATTTGATTAATTATATATCCAGGATCAATTGCGATGCTATTTAGGAGGCGATTGTAAAATAGATTTTAAAAGTAGAAAAACTTGCAAGAAATGTCGTTTGAATAAATGTTTTGCCATCGGAATGAGAAAGGTAAATTATAAAACAATTTAACATAACATTAAAATAGTTATAATATTTCATATATTGTAGGAATTATTACAACCAAACACTACCGTAGAAAATGTGACAAAAACTATAGAGAAACCCATTGGACTTAATAGTGATAAATTAAATTCTCTGTATTGACATAACTTATATTAATAACTTTTGTTACTATGTTTACCGCTATTTGATTCCTTTGTTTAAGTTCTTAATCTTTCATAACTATGTTTACAACCACAATAATTATAGTAACTCTTATGTCATCAGAAATCTGCAACTTTTGTATATAAATCTGTATTCAAACAAATTTATTGCGACAAAAGTTTCAATGATTTAGAGTCCATACGATTGACTGAATTGTTTTCAGCGTCCAAAATATTTAACTACAAGTCATTTCGTACGCAAACTATCATTGAGTTTAAAAGTATCTCTGAAGTGAATAACGTGTCCAACCCTATGATGGACAATGACACAGTGGACCTGATACAATTTACCAAGCACCTGGACTCATTTAACAATTTGTGTTTCAACGATCAAATGGCACTTTTTAAGTACGGGTGCCTCGAGATACTTATACTCCGATATTCCCTCCACTTTGACATCAATACGGAGAACTGGATGTGGGTTTGGGTTTGTACTACAATTTTAAGAGAAATTATCAGTTTATTCACTTATTTTATTAAAATTTAATAATTATATTAAATGCTATTATTGCAGAATTGGCATGATCCAAGTGTCGGTCTATTTAATTTAGAAATTTTAAAGCCAAAATACATGGATTTATACGCTTATTATAAAGATTATTTTCGTAAAGTAATCCCCGAATGGAAACAAGATTTTGTAATATTAGATTTGGTATAATAAAATTTTATTTACAAATTTACACTGCTTAATACTGTATAACCCTTTTCTATGTATTATATTGCATAACAGATGACAGCGATAATACTGTTTAACCCGAATCGACCCAACCTTATACACAGAGATGTGGTCAAGTAAGTTACCCTGATAACTATGAATTCATTTCAATAGGGTAAATGTGATTTAAGTTGTCATGATCAAAATTATTATTATTTAGATCCGAACAGCAATTGTATATCTATTTACTCCAACGCTATCTGTATTTGAAGTATCGGACAGACTGTGAAACACAGGCAATACTATCGAAACTAATGAATTCATTAATGGATTTACGAGTTATTTGTGATTTTGAAGTTAAGATTGGTTTTGAAACATCTTTGGATTCCTTTGGACCTATTCTTAAAGAAATACTTTTTGATATACCTGTAAATGTGGCTTAAATTATATAGAAATTATAATTTGATTAATAAATACCAATTGAATGTCTCGACAAAGCTCTAAATGCGAGATTTGTGGCGACAAAGCCGTCGGTATGATATGTATTTGCATTTAATTTGAAATTTAATTAAATTGTTTGAAATTATTTTTTTGTAAACGTAATTATTACATTGTTAGCAAATAATAAATATAACACTGTATTTAAGTGAGTTTGTGACTGATAAAGTGATCCTATAATTTCAATATTAACTATTAAGTTTTATTATCAATTTTAACCATTCATTTATAACTTATACCAGTGCTGTCTAAAATATTTAAAAACAAAAAATAAGTAGCACATAATTTTATTATCTCATATAGATTATCAGTAGATAAAGCTCTTTACAAAACACAAATATCATTACTATTTTTTACTGTATTTCTAGAAATATGTCATTGGACTTCAAATATTAATTTTATGGTTATTTATGATATTTATAATATGTTTTGAAATGTGGTGCTAATATGACCAGAGTCAATTCTTATAAAACGTGCCAAATCTGTGGTGATGTATCTAAAGGTTTGTGATTTAGTGAAACTAACTTAATTGCATTTATTGTGAAAACTAATAAATATTTTCAATACAGGATATCATTATCATGCAATATGTTGTGAGCCATGTAAATTATTTTTTCGTAGGAATGGCTTAAAATCGGTAAATAATTTTGACAATAAACATTAGATAAGTGATAATACTCAATGAGCTAA